TAGAATCTTTTAACCTTAAGATGCATGTTAAAGAACCCACACGAATCACAAACAATTCTTCCACAACCATAGACTATGTGTGCTCTAATCTGGATAGTGAAGTTGAAGTTGACTCCTATACAGACGATCCTGCGCTGTCTGATCATCAAGCTGTATTAGCTTCTTTTCCACTTTCAACCAAAGCCACAACTCATAAAAATCGCGGGAGGATTTTCAGTAAAAGAAACTTCATTCACTTTAGGCAAATGTGCAGTACTGCTGACTGGAATAACACATATACTACGAAAGACCCGCTTCAGTCCTTTCATCTGACACTTACTGAAATTGTAAATAAATCATTTCCTCTCCGCCCGCTGCGAAAAAGAAATAATCAAAAATACTGGATTACTAAAGGTCTGAGAACATCCGCGGAAAATCTAAGGTCTCCAAATATCATTAGAAAACATTTTAACAATGATGCCTTTATTTATAACTACTACCTTCTCTATCGCAAACACTACAGAAAACTAATACACGACGCGAGGACACTATTCTACAGGAACCGCATACAAAATTTATCGAATAGTTCTAAAGAGACTTGGAATGTTGTCCGAGACTTAACTGGAAAAACTAATGCTCAACCCCAACATATAGATATTGAACCGAACACTCTGAACAATCATTACTGCTCGGTTGCAACGAATCTAATTAAAGATATCCAATCTGACACCGATCCCTTATCATACGTCGAACATCTATGCGTACCAGACTCATTTTCATCTATACCAACAAATACCACTGAACTTAAATTGACAATAAAATCCATTAAAAATAAAAACGCAGCTGGTTCAGATGGCTTATCTGCTAAAATCATTTCTGGAGGGATCATTTCCATCAACTCTAAAGAAAGCTACGGTAGTTCCAATTCACAAAAATGGGGACACAAAAAATCCTGCAAACTATCGGCCCATCTCATTATTGCCAACAATATCCAAAATTATTGAAAAACTTGTCAAAAAACGCATGATGGATTTTCTGATGTGCCATGATGTCTTCAATAGTGCTCAGTTTGGCTTTCTTCCCAGAAGAAATACACACGACGCAATGCTTAAAGTAGTGGAGCAACTTTTCAGACATTACAATAATGGCTATGCTACTGCAGCGGTGTTCTGTGACTTTTCCAAGGCTTTTGACTGTGTGTGTCACAGAGCACTGCTGCGAAAGCTGGAAGCTTACGGTTTCAGGGGAGTTGTCCTAAATTGGTTCGAGTCCTTCTTAACCAACCGCACTCAGAGTGTCAGGGTGAACGGCGAATGTTCCACTAGCCAGGTTATTGTACCACGGAGTACCACAGGGTTCAGTTTTAGGACCGATCCTGTTTTTGCTCTATATTAATGACCTATTACAAATAGACATATCAGGAGTATTTGCGGCATTTGCCGATGATGCAACGGTTTTGTGGCATGGAGGGGAATCGCGAGAGTTGGTTCGGATAATTTCTCAAGATCTGGTTGAAATTAAACACTGGTGTGACGCAAATGGGCTTCTTTTTAATTTTAACAAGACTCAAGTACTGGGTTTTCGCTGTAATATGAATGATATTGTATGTGATCAGTTCTTAATTAAATCTTCCACGAGTACCTACTAAATTTCTTGGACTTCAGATCGACGTCAGTCTAAAATTTCAATCACATATCTCCTCACTAAGCAAAAAACTCGCTTCAGCCGTAGCTACCCACTTAGGTTCACAAACTGCAAAATCAGTCTATCGTGCAGTGTTTGAGTCACATCTTGCATACGGCTTACCTTTCTGGGGATGTTGTAGTCAATACTTGTTTGACTCTGTTTTTAAACTGCCAAAAAGATCGATAAGGTTCATTACATGTGCCCCGATAAGAACTCATTGTAGACCACTATTTGTACTCCATAAAATCCTAACTCTCCTGTCACTGTTCATTCTAGAAACTGTTAGTCTAATACATAAAAATCTTCATCTGTTTCCAACTACCCAGAGATCTCGAACCACACGACAAACAAACATAAATGCTATACCTCTTCCTACTCCTCATACCACACTGGTACAAAAATTAATTATTTAAATCAGCCTAAAGATTTATAATCACTTACCCATTGTCCCTGTCGGATCTTGGCAAGTTCCGAAAAGCACTGAAGGAAATTTTGGTTGCACAAGCATTTTATTCTATTGAGGAATTTCTTAATTTCTCCTTCCGTGAAACAAGGACCTACTGAAAAGGGACGGACGCCAACTCGTCACTTTATTGTACCTAGGTAAAATTTAAGCCCTTGACCGACCGGCCAACTGGACACCAAGACTAAATAGAGACCGGCCAATTCGACACTTTACCTGGGCCAACTCGCCACTTTATTGAACTCGCCAACTGAAGGTTTCTAGAAAACGTTGGGGTGATAAAACTCACATAATAATTAATCTAAAAAAGCTTTATTTTAAATGAATAATTTTTCATAGTTACTTACATTACAAGTGCGTTTATGAACATGATTACAATAACGAGTGTGAAAGATTAGAACGACGAGGTCGTAGACCGAGTCGTTCTAATCACACGAGTTTTGTAGTCATGTTTAAACGCACGTGTGATGTACAAATTTTTATCTACAAAGCGAAAAATCAGAATTTTTTTTTCAATCATTTTCGTTTATTAGTCGTTGTATACCTTCATTTTACCTTTACAGGTTTACCTTGGACATTTGTCAAATCACCAAAAATAGTTGCGTAATGAATTCATAACCTTGTCCATAACACCACTAGTTGTGTTATGAATTCATAAGCTAGTCCATAACACAACTAGTTGTGTTATGAGCCTCATGACATATACCTATACTATATACCTACTATCACAAAGTATATGCTATTGTTTAGTTATTCTTGTACAAACAAAAAAAGCGGTAATATTCGTTTAAAAGTTTTGTTATATTTTGTATCTACATATGTCAAACTAATTTAACAAAATCGTACTCGGTTAATTCATTATTATCGAGTGCCAGGATTTTTTGATTTAAGAAACATTCTGCTTGTTTAACTTTTTTAGTTTTAACAATAATAATGGTATTAATAATTGAAAATAGATTACTGCTCTTTGAAGCTCTCATCGAAAGAGGAAATGCTGAATTTTCTGAGATGTAATTGTCAATTTTGGGGCATAAAATACCTATGCCAAAATTAATCCCCTGAGCAATAGAGTGCTCAGTTGACCTATCCTCTAGACAATAGAGTGCTCAGTTGGCCTATCGCTTAGGGGCTCTTTGAAAACTACCTGCGTTTGATGGTGTCGAGTTGGCCGGTCTACGTTTATGACCTCAAGAGTTTGGTGCCCAGTTGGCCTGTACCCCTGAAAAGCTATCTATTGAACCCCACCTGGTTATATTCTGTTGTTCATTGTGTGATAGTGTTTTCCTTCTGTATGAGTTTGCGAAAACTTTCGAATATATATTTTTTACTCTGAGTGTTTTTATATGTAGATACTTTATTTGTAATTTTAATAATGAATAGATTTAAGTGTTTTAAATTAAGTTTGCTTTGTCAATAAGATTTACAGTTTCTTGGACAATAAAGCATGTGTACTACTACTACTACCACTACTACTGTCTTTATTTTGTGTATGGTTAGTGCAAGGCACTAAATTTCCCTTATTTCAATATGTCTGACATTTTTGACGACTTTGACGTTTCGCTTTTCGACGATGACGTAATTTTACAGAGAATTTGTTCTTTACAATAGTTTTTCATTTTACTGTAGGTATCATCAAAAAATGGGTATCAGCAGAAAATCACAAACAAAAATAAACACTTTTTGAGGTTGAAATTTATAAACATAGCTATCAGCTGTCAAAATTATGAATACAAAATAAGGTAATACTCTAACATCTACTACAGTCTTCCAATAACTGTTATTTTCTAGGAAAAATAGTGCTGATGCACTTATAAAATAACGTAGATCCTTAATACTGCGAGGCAGTATTTGATGTTTTCAATAACTCTCTATTTTCTGTTGCTCCCACATCAATGGAAAAATAGTTTCGATCAAATTTGGCAACAGATTATGAATAAGGATACAGCCTTGAGAAACAACACAACTCCTATAACAACCATCAAGCTTTGAACTATGCTAGAGGATCAACATGCATATTTGTTTGGCTCCATAATGAAGTAGCGGGGTCAGAGCCAGGGGTGATTTATCAGATACACAAAAAAAAAAGAAGTTTTTCCTGTTTTAATAATAATGAATATCGTCATCTAACGAAAAGTACGTACCTATTTAAAATTTTTCTGCTTATAATAAAATTAAAAATTTACTTGGGACATTTTAAATCTATACCTAAAATAATTCTAACACAACAATACCTTTTATTACTACTCCAATTATTTAAATGGAACTACACCTGCGTCTAAAGAAAGCTTTTACAGTTTGGCAATGTCTAGTAATTGTTTTGTATTCCTTCAAAAAAAGTATATATATTATTTTGATTTACCTACCTGTTCTATCTTATATAAAAATTGTAACCTCTCTTTCTCTCTTTTTGTTTGAATAAATCAATCTAGGTCTGTAGAACAGTAAACCAATTCAGCTCGGCTCTCCTAGTTACATCTAAGAGATACCTACGTTTACGTTGAATTTTTAAAAATGGGTAAATGTGTTGTATCTGGTCATTAACCGAAAAGGGATTTAAACCGTTCAATTCATGTGTAAGTAAATAATCAACAACAATGGCCATAAGAGAGACCTATGTCTTAGCTCGTTTCTTGTGGCAAATCAGCTGATGCCCAAAACAAACAGACTGGTTTAAAAACATTTTATATTCATGAGTGCGAGAGAGAGAGAGCCTGGACTTATTCTGAAGAAAAACAGATTTTATAGCACATTATTATCGTTATTAGTCTAGAGAGGGAGAGTGTTCAATGGTCGAAGATAACAACCAATAAAAAATAAAAGATGGAGCATGTAGAATTTGTGCTCGACCGGCACAAAAAATTTGAACAAAAGTTTATGAAATATAAGTTTATTGATCAACACATTAAATATGTGAACCATGAGTTCTCAGTCTCAGGAAAAACCACAACAAAATTACATATATGGATATAACTCAAAGATATTACATAAAAAAAATTACAAATATTGATATTGATCAGTCCCTGCTATTTCACTCCTTCATCTAAGGCAAATCAGAAATGTGTCTCAAATAAATCCTCTTCTCGCGCACTCTGGAACGGCACCAAATCCCCGGATTCACCTACATCATATTGACCAGTCAAATCGAAAGTGCATGCAGTTTTGATAGGCATCGGTAACACTTCATCCATCGCTACATTTCCTGATGATTGAGTTAGTTGAGCTACCACTGGATCCTCTCCGGTATCAAGTTTTAAGATAATTTTACTAAAGCCATTAGTTTTTAGAATAATCGGTTCAACTTCTTGAACTGAATCTGGATCATCTACGTCTTCTTCTAAGCTAATAAGATTAGTCTCATCGTTTTCAGCTTCATAGATTCCAGATATATAAGAGGCAGCATCATTACTACTACCAAAATCTCCTTCATGAGTTAGTATTAAATGAGCCTTAAATTCTTTGGCTACATTTGTTTGGAATCGTTGAGAAGCTTCACAAAATTTGCACTCATAGATACATTTTCCTGAGTGTTTGGTGGTGGCGAGGACGTGTCGACGTAAGTTTTCCTATAAAATAACACAATTTAATAATATTGAAATGTTATAGAATATTTAGGTACACTTACCATATTATTGCATTTATATTCACAGTAAGGACATTTAAAAGGTTTAGCTCCAGTGTGTAATCGCATATGCCGTTTCAAATGAGCAGAGGTTCTAGATGTGAAGGAGCAGCGGTTGCAGCTGAATTTTTTGGTTTCATCGTGGACAGTCATGTGCCTTCGAAAAACATGAAATATGTACAAAATAAAAAGGTTCTAGATTTCCACAATTTTATTTAAAAATGCGGTAACATGTTTTAGCACACAGTGCCTTCTGCAGGTGGAATAACTAAACTAATATGCTTAGCTAGAATATGTCGCGAAAATCTGGCGGAAGCGCCAGGGTGTACTGAATTGGACAGCTGTTTCTAGATTTTACAGTGCTATTCGGGAAAGAGAACTATCGCGTTTATTCTGGATTTTACAAGAATGGATTACGGATATATAAAGTCCGGTATTAGTTAGTAGTTTTTAGTTTCAGATTGGCTGATAGTGATTATTGTAAACTTTTGAAGAGTTGAGTTGTTTGAGTTAATTAGTGAAGTAATTAGTGTCAGAGTGTATAGTAACGTGGAATAAATTATTGCTTGTTGAATCTCAAGCCGTTAAGATCCTGGCCATAAACCCGGTGAGGATTCCTGGAAGTACTGGAAAGATCATTTGCGGAAAATTGGAAACAAACCCTGGGTGTTGCGTTGGACTAACACATAATTTTATTGGAGATAAACCAGAAAAAAATCTTGTTGGAAAAACTCTAGTAAGAACAAATGGAGATATTATGATAAGAATTTCTTTCAAACAGTAAAAATAAAGGAAGGAGACATTATTGGAACTCTTGAACCAGTTAAGCAAATATCGAACTGTGACCTATCAAATAAGCGATATTTTGTAAAACCGAAATTGGATACAGACACCTCGATGCAGACCTAGGAGAAATCATAGAAACACCTCGAACCAATTAGACTTCAGGAAGCCACATATTTTATCTTGAAAGATGGAGACATATTTTTGATGGATAATCAAACCGGACTGGCTTGACACACCCAATTAGACAACCACCTCGACGTATGCCAGTAGCTAAACAACAGGAAGTGGAAAACCAAATTAATGAAATGCTTCAAGAGGGAATTATTGAAGAGTCTGTGGACTAACACATAATTTTATTGGAGATAAACCAGAAAAAAATCTTGTTGGAAAAACTCTAGTAAGAACAAATGGAGATATTATGATAAGAATTTCTTTCAAACAGTAAAAATAAAGGAAGGAGACATTATTGGAACTCTTGAACCAGTAAAGCAAATATCGAACTGTGACCTATCAAATAAGCGATATTTTGTAAAACCGAAATTGGATACAGACACCTCGATGCAGACCTAGGAGAAATCATAGAAACACCTCGAACCAATTAGACTTCAGGAAGCCACATATTTTATCTTGAAAGAAGGAGACATATTTTTGATGGATAATCAAACCGGACTGGCTTGACACACCCAATTAGACAACCACCTCGACGTATGCCAGTAGCTGAACAACAGGAAGTGGAAAACCAAATTATTGAAATGCTTCAAGAGGGAATTATTGAAGAGTCAAATAGTCCATGGTCTGCGCCAGTAGTATCGGTTAGAAAGAAAGATGGAAGTCTTGGATTTTGTGTGGACTACCGTAAGCTTAATGACGTCACCAAGAAAGACAGCTTCCCTATTCCGAGGATAGACGATACATTAACAACTCTATCGGGCTCCAAATGGTTTTTCACCTTGGATCTTAAGAGTGAATACTGCCAAGTGGCAATACACAAAGATGACAAAGAGAAAACTGTCTTTGGTACCGGAAGCGGTTTAACGTGATACTTTTCGGATTGTGTAATTCTCCAGCTACGTTCGAGCGACTGATGCATTTTGTTTTGCGAGGCCTTACAGGGAGAACTTGCCTGGTATAGTTAGATGATGTCATGATCATGGGAAATTCGTTTGAAGAACATTTCAATCACCTGAAAGAAGTTTTCGACCGCTTCCGGAATGCCAACTCAAAACTCAATCCAAATAAGTGTTTTCTATTTCAAAAGAAAATAGAATTTTTAGGTCTTGTGGTATCTGAAGATGGCATACAAGTTATGGAAGGAAAAATAGATGCTGTCAGGGATTGGCCAAAACCACGCGACAAACATGAACTAAGTTGTTTTCTAGGATTATGTTCTTATTATCGAAGATTTTTGGAAGGATTCACCAATATAGCTGCTCCGATTCATTGATTAACGGAAGAAAAATCTACATTCAATTGGACCCAAGAATGCGATTAGAAATGAAAACTCTCGAAGGACAGCTTGCTAGATGAATTGAGAAATTGCAGCAATACGATTTCCAAATTAAACATCGACCTGAAAACCTGCATAAAAATGCTGACGCTCTGTCTAGACGGCCATGTAAAGAGGAATGCAAGCATTGTTAAAGAATCGATATGCATGAGAAAAATACTGTTCCAGCTGTGAGAAGAACAGGTCTTATCGTTGATGATAAATAGACTACCAGATAAATTAGAGAAGATCAAGAGGCAGACCAGGACATCGGGCAAATTCTACATCTTGAAGAACATGATGAATGTGGGCCAGAATGGAGGAAAGTGTCGAACAAGAGTTTGATTTACAAAGCGTTGTGGGCTCAGTGGAGCTCTCTAGCCGTAGAAAATGGTTTACTGAAAAGAGTTTCGGAAAGTGCCGATGGAAAAATTACGGAGAGCCAACTATTTATTCCAAAAGATCGAGTAGAAGATGTATTGAAAGAAATACATGACGGAACTTCAGGGGCACATTTTGGAGTTAACAAGACTTTGGACAAAATTCGAGAATGTTTTTACTGGGTCCACTATCATGAAGACGTTGAAAACTGGTGCCGAAAATGCTTCATCTGTGCTACCAGTGAAGGATTTAAACCAAGATCTCGGAGGCCCATGAAACAGTACAACGTCGGTCTCCCATTTGAAAGAATAGCCGGACCGTTCCCTGAGTCAGAGGGTGGTAACAAAAACATCTTGGTTATCATGAATTTCTTCAGTAAATGGCCAGTTTTCGCTATTCCCAATCAAGAATCCATCACTATTGCTCAGGTGCTAGTGGACGAAGTTTTTTGTCGTCATCGTTGCCACTAGAGTTACATTCAGATCAAGGACGATACTTCGAATCTGCCATCTTCAAGAAAATTTGTGAGATCATGGGAATTCGTAAGACTAGGACAACACCTTTACATCCACAGTCTAATGGCATGGTAGAACGATTTAATAAGACCATAGAGGAACATCTGACAAAATTAGTCGCAAAGAACCAGCGAGATTGGAACAAACATTTGCCTCTATTTTCAATGGCTCACAGCTGTTCACGAGTCAACAGGTGAAAGTCCATCTAGAATCGTTTTTGGAAGGAAACTCAGGTTACCTTGCGATCTGATGTTTGGAATACCTGAAGGAGAACGAAAAGAAATTCGCGATTATTCCGACGGAGTTAGGGCACGACTTCTGGGGATACATGCTTTTGCTCGGGAGACCAGATACGATTTGAAAGCCAATTCAGCCGGATTTCAAGAAGGCGATTTAGTGTGGCTGCATAATCTAGCAAGAAAGAAATGAGTGTCGCCGAAATTGTCTTCAGCATAGGAAGGACCCTACAGAAAAATCAAGAAGAAGAATGAATTGGTTTATCGAGTTCAGCGCAACATCAGGAGTAAGATGAAAGTTGTATTTGGATAGACTGACGAAATATCATGGGCGCGAAGTTGATCGGGACGATCAACCTTAAGAGAATGGTAGTGTCGCAAAAATCCGGCGGAAGCGCCACAGGGCCGTAGCCAGGGGGGGGGCATTGGGGGGCAATGCCCTATCTTTTAAATGATGATGCCCTACCTTTAAAAATCAACATACATTAGGGTTTCTTCAAAAAATTTAAGAGTAGATGATGCCTGGGGCCCAATTCTGGTCGGGACAGGAGTACTCCCCGAGAGAACGGATTTTTTGTTCTTGTCAACGTAATCGAAAAGTGAACGAGAATGATAAAGACGAAAAATTTGTTCTCTCGGGGAGCTCTCTCCTCTCCCTCGGGCCCCTGAAGTAGATAGGCCTGAAATCGATTAAGTGAGGATGAATGTTTCCGAAAATGCCTAAATCTAATGAACAATGTTTGACGTTTGCACAGTGGAAGTTTTTTTTTTTATTTGAAAGAGTGCGAATGGCCCAGGCGGCTGGCGCGAAAATCGTCGCCATTTTGTTTACTTGCCAGAGATGTTATTTATTGCAAGGTTACTTGATAAAGGCGTGAGAGGTAGGATGCCTGGGCTGGAACTCTGTAACGGATAGAGATATTTTCTCTATCCCTATTGACGTCCTCTCTCTAGTGATTTCGAGAAGAGAGAAGAAGACAGCAAGTGCCATAGCGATAGGGATAACGATCTCTATACGTTACAGAGTCCCAGCCCTGGCAACATTATGACGTCATCTGGGGTGCATCAACATAATGCAAATCTCTATAAGGTATCCCAGATCAGATGCGTCATCAAGTTACCCATTACCCAAGAATCGTAAACTCTACAGAATCGCTCAATCCCATAAGACATACGTTCATAAAAATATCGAACATGGAGGAATGCGAGTGACGTCACGCAGTCCTTGATCGGTTTGTTTTTTATTATGACAGTGTAATTTCCTTGCATTCTCAAACGTGAAAAATTGTTATTTTTGAGCTTATTTTCTTTGGAAACTGTGTTTTTTAAATTTAGCAGACTTCAAAAGTTTGTATGCTTGAGTCGTTAGCTAATTACGAAGACGAGTTTGTTTGTTCTCTGCTTATCAGCAAGGTAATTTCAAAATACCCACACTCACATAAATATTATATCAAAATGTGCATGCATTTTTTTTACCTTTTTTTAGGGGCAACGGCATCAAGAAGCAAGAAGGTACATTTATAAAATAGATATGCCAGGAATGGGATGTGCTGTGTATGGGTGTAATAACAACTATTTTGATCAAAAAGCAAGCAGTCAAAAATGTTAATTTCATCGCTTTTCTAAAAGAAAAGATCTTGTATCTAAAACTATTCAAAACGAGTGGATAGTTTTTTGTAAAAGAAAGGACAAACTGAATGCAGATACATTTTTTATGTATACATATAGTGATACCTAATTTAGATTTTCATATCAGAATTCAGAAAAACACTGCAAGTTTCCTATATTTTCCATGCGTTTACATAGTAAACGCGCCAGTAAAGGAATTTTTTTACATGTTTATCCATTTATTTACTCTTCACAAACGCTAATTTCTAGTAATAGACCTATCTATGTTTACCTGTATGCGCGCGCAACACGAGGCAATGCGTTTTTATTGGCTAACTAGTACAGGTGTGAAGTAATCCTTTTGCACGCTGGGTATCTCCTTGTCCTTTTTCATTGCCCGTGGTCTGACAAGGATAAAATTATGCTTGATATTCAACTTGACGTAGCTTGACAAGTGATCGATTTTCAATTGTTTGTGTTTTTGATTGACAAATACGTTGCACGTCACGTGATTTTCCTCCTTCCTTTTTTATCCCGTGCAAATAATAAGAACGGATTGTCATACGTGTAAAGGTCTGGACACACATAACCGCACCGTATCCGCACCGTGTCCGTACAGAGACACGGCCGTGTCTCGCTGATGAATTGTACCGTGTTTTCTTATGTCATAGTCTTCACATCCACGCACCGTGCCCGCGCCGCGCCCGTGTGGCGCCACCGCACTGCGTCCGTACCGTGCGAAATAAGTTTGGTTTAATTTTTCACGGGCTCGGTTGCAGGACGGATTCTCAGTATTTTTTCAGTACAAAAAGAGAAACTAGCTCAAATTTTACGTCGTTTTGGACTATTTCTCTAATTTTCTGCATCGTCCAACGCAATAGCTGATGCCTCTCGAGCTGCCTATTGCTGCCAATTCGCTGTTGGTGAAGCTGGCGAACATTTTAGCTTTTTTGACACACACTTCCAAGTGACAAACTACCGACCACACTCGTAGTACGACCGTCATGCGGCCGTGTGTTGGAATTGTGTGGTTTCGACCTTATTGAGCGACACACTGCCGTGTTACTGCACGGACTCGGTGCGGGCTCGCCGCGGATACGGTGCGGTCATGTGTGTCCAGACCTTAGGTAAACACCACACATTTCCCACATTTCCAACACACGGCCGCATGACGGTCGTACTACGAGTGCGGTCGATAGCTTATTAGTTCGCTTCTTGAGTCTTACATAATTTAGTACGTTTTGCCTCGTCTTACGCAATAAGCGTTCTGCGTCTTTTTCTATCTATTGTTCGTCGATTTTAATCTGATACTCGGACGGAATGTGAGCTGGTGGCTCCCTACGCCAATGGTTTCCTGACGTTACACCTGTTTTTGCCATATGAAACACCCCCTCGCTCCTCATACCGCAAGTATCAGTTAAAAATCGACGGACAATAATAAAGTTTTCGTATTATTACCTCTTAGTCTGGTAAAATAGATAGGTCTATTATATGCAAAGGAAACTTACAACTAAGTAGGTAGTTATTTGATTTACAAAAAAAAAACAATACAACTATATAATTACTTGACTAGGAAATACTAGCAGTAGAAAACTAAGCAATACACACGAATAAAAGAAAGCTATGTCCTGATGCAACAAATCCAGTATTACAAAACCACTAAAACCAGAAATTTTTTGGGGTTTCCGCGATTATTTTCAGCCATGAGTTTTTTATGCTAATACACATCAAATGAAACTTTAAATTACACTTATAACATTTGATAAACTTACGAATTTACGATAAAATAATTCTCAACACAAACTCAACTATCATTTGTATCGGCGGCCATCTTGAAAGTCAGGTATGCACGTACTGTCACAGCACTTGTGAACAAATTTAGCCGATTGAGCAATCCTGTAAAGTTCACGATTCTTGCTCATTACCATACAACCTGAACCTTGATTTATTGAAAAATTTGCCTTCGGCGCCATTAGCCCCATTTTGTTTACCTATAAAAAAATTTAAGGGGGGGGGGCAATTAGAGTATGCCCTATGTCAAATTTGTCATACCCTATCTTAAATTTGACTCTAGCTACGGCCCTGAAGCGCCAGGGTGTACATAATTGGACAGCTGATTCTAGATTTTACAGTGCTATTCGGGAAAAAGGACTATCGCGTTAATTCTGGATTTTACAAGAATGGATTACGGATATATAAAGACTGGTATTAGTTAGTAGTTTTTAGTTTAAGATTGGCTGTGATATGATTCAGATAGTGATTATTGTAAAGTTGTAAAGAGTTAAGTTGTTTGAGTTAATGAGTGAAGTAATTAGTGTCAGAGTGTAACGTGGAATAAATTATTGTTGTGTTAATTGGACTTTGATTCTGGAATAAACGGACCCAAGATTTCTGTCACGTACCACAGAGCCCTGACAATATATACCATAGTTGTTATTATCATCAAATAAATAAAATTCTGGAAATCAAAAAAAAAATTGTTTCCTTTCAAAATTTGTAATTGGATTTGCATTAATCGGCTAAATCAATCAATATCTTTTAAGTACGAAGGTATATATTTTCTTGAAATTAGTTCTTATTGTAAAATTTTTGAAAAATAGGATCTCTAGGCTGCTTTAACTGTTTGAATTTTGACACTTAGTTCTTAACTGAAGCAACTCATTGATATCTGATCGGATAAGACACCAAAGACCGAGATCCATTTCAATATTCTCAGGTGGAACCTGAATTGCACTCGCATATAGTTCGGACATAAATTAGGAGGCAGGTAACACTTGTACGGGCGGATACGGTCGAATTAATTGACGTGCGGTGAGCTCTGGCCATGTAATTAGGCGGTTATCGAAGACGTAGATCGCAGCCTTGGTCTTGTCTCCACGGACTTTATACAGTTTATTTTATAGAGGGAAAACTTGTTACCTTTTCAATTGCTTTTTGGTTTTTCCTATATATTCGCATACGTAACAGGCAAAGGTTTTTTCGGAACTGTGAGTATTTAAATGTTCCTTTAGTTCACTAATTTTCCTTGCAGAATAAAAACAACCATCTTGTGGACATTTGCATAATTTTCCTGTGTGTATCAGCATGTGCTGTTGAAGAGTGAATCTAGAACAAGAATTAGAGCAGTTATAAATTTAAATTATGTCAATTTATTAAAATAATTCTAAACTAAATAATATATGGTATTTCGCCATTGAAACGTGAGTTATGGCATCAAAATCTAATAAATAATATTAAAAGGGCAGATAGCAGCCAATGCAGGCAGTTTGCGAACGACTTATTTTCCTGTTTTCTGTTATAACTCCTGCTACTGGCTCGGATAGAACGTTTTAATATTTAATGCTTGTCAACGAGCCTTTCAACCAAAACCAAAGCCCTATATTGTCTAGTGGTGTATTGCAGGTGTAATAATTTTTAATATTTAGTAAATTTGGATAAAGCCGTATATTATATTATTATACGTTTTTGTCAATTGTTGCTAAAAGCTTTGGCATAAATTCCACTTTGTGATCTAAAGATTAGCTAGCAAAATGGCACGTGGTCATAAACCTGCCTAACGCCAAATGAAAACCTATCAGATCCAAAACAGCATGTGATACTTTGTACCCAAGCCAAGCGAGTATTACACACACGCCGCCGACGTGGGTCAGTTAATGGTCCTTCTCTTCGGCTACGAAAATAATTACCAATATATTCTGGTTAATTTATCCTTTAGTTGTTTTCGTGGCGTCTCAATCCAATCATATTAAATCGGCGAATTTACTTTGGTAACGCCGTGAAGCCAGTTAACTTACAGAAATAACACTAACTTGTGGTGAACACCAACAATAATTTTACCACTAGAATAATAATAGATATACGGGGATAAGAGTTTGCAACAAATGGGTATTAGGTATTTGTTATTCGAGCAAATTTAAAAAAATATTGGCTCAATTGAATTTAGAGTAGAAAATTGGTTCATTTTGGAAAGATTTTAAAATAGGTTTAAATTTTATTTTATTTCGAGGTTTCTATAGGTAATTGCAACAAAGTCAGCAGTGTCGGACTAGCCCACCGGGGAACCGGACAAAATCCCGGTGGGCCAGGTGACGTCTTCGACAGGTGGGCCATTCGAATATTTATAAAAATAAATTAAACCATTCCACTTCCCGCGCCATAGACCATCAAATCAAATCATACGTTATTTCGCGTAATCCACCGTCCTTATAAAAAATCATCATTATCAATATCAACTCCCTTCTGCTCTGAAAAATTTCAACCCGAAGTCGCGTAGAAATCGCCCGCCGCATATCAGTGAATTTGAATTCAACTGACGTAGCCGTTGTTGATTTTCAGGAATACACAGACAGGGTAGTGAATTTGTGAAAAAAGCGACATCCTCACATTGGTTTTGGTATTGAAAATGCTTTAGTAACTCTTCGTTTTTCGCAAATTAAACACCCTGTTTTTCCGAAAATCAGCCTAATCAGCAACGCTTAGAATGACTGAAATAATTTTTCTGTTTGTTGATTACGATATCTTTAGAAATTAACTCTCTTCTAAGACCATAATATCATTTAAACATCTCGACCTCCGCCTCCCTCTATTTTTTTATTTTCATGCACCCTAGATGTCCGAGAACGGAAGGCTGAAAAAGAAGTATTTTGGCCTTTATTCATCACCTTTAATCTTCAGTCTTAGACGTTACGATTTAATCGTCACCTTTTGTTCGTCACGCTTAGTCCTTAACTTGAGTAAAGAGTTAAACGTTGAGATTACTGTGTGTTTCAAGTAGTACCTTCAATCTTCAGCCTCCTCTAGACCATTGGAAGCTTTAGTGATTCCTAATTACTGAACTTCAGTGCCCAGGGCCAGTTGCTTCTTGTTGCGGCCTTGATCCAGACCCAGGCCATCGGAAACATTGGAAGATATTAGTTCCATCCGTCAGGTTCCTCCAAGAGTTTAGGGACTACTCAGGTTTGATATGTGTGTTGTGTTGTCGTAATATCAAACCTTACCAACCCCTTGTTGAAGTGAATCACCACAACCACGCGGTTCTGCAACAGTATTAAAGTTACCCTTCAGATTAGATGCTGTTATTTCAGTTTCAATTAATTATTACCTTTGTTATATGAAATTTACCCTTCAGGTTATGTACCATTAGGTACTTCAATTTTAAGTATTTATCTATACCTTCTATATTATTCCATAATATCAAATTTGCCCCTCAGGCTATTTATTGTTACTTCAACTTTAATTATTGATTTATATTTCTCTAATAACTATCCCATAATTACATGCTGCACTGAATACAGGTAAATACTTGTACACTGGGGTTAAATGGCCATTTACGAAGGCACTGCATTGAGTGAGCTTATTTGTTAATTAATATTTCAGGTATTATTGTTGTTAATTGTTATTACTCTTTATTTTTTTTCTTTAGGGACTCAAGTTGAGTATAATTAATAATTATTATAAATACTGTAAGAACATATGGTTAGACGATTTCTTTTCTTGTTCTGTTCTGGTTCCAATGTAAATAATTTTTAGTGTTCCAGGGCGTTCAGAAAACTCACTCCGAACCTGTTCTAGAGTCAACCTATTCTGTTCTGGTTCTAATTAAAACTCGTACCTGATTGTAGCAAAAGCGTTTCACTTTTGTCCCTTCTTCTTGTTTATATTTCAGGTTGTGCTGCTATGGTTCCGTAGAAGTTTCCTGCTTTCGTTATATCGGTTGATTTCGTGTACTGCAGGGAAAAAGTAGGTGGTGCTCTATATTTAACCCACACCACTCTCCGTATTGGAGGCTAGTCGGCAACCCTATACACGAAATCACGTTTCTAGATTTCAGCCACCAACCAACCCTTTCTTTCTATTCTTTCTCTTTTTAGCTACCCATTCACTGTCCCACTTCCTTCAGGTTTCATTATTTACTTCTCCCTCCCGTTTTGTGCCACGTAATAAATTGGCACGTAACAATAGGCATAGAATAATATACGATGGTATAGGGTATATCACATGAAATCTGTTCAGAATTTTACGTAGAATCCAAATATGCAATCACATACAGGGTGTTCTATTTAAAATAGCGATGTTGCCACTGGTTTAGAGTAGAAGCGGCAACACCGCATAAACAAAAATATTTTTAAAGTGTAGATTATGGTCGTTTATCCCGGTTGCCAAATTTTCAAAATGATCGGCTTTTTAGTTCTCCATAAACGTCTTATACGCCATCCACCGTGGGTCACCCTGTATGATCACCAAGCTCCTTAAAAAAATTGTGAATGTTCATGTCACTCATGGTCCATATTATAATTTTTTTAGTGTAGTGTTTGGAGTGTAATGGGTACGAAAATTTTTTTCGGCTAAACTGCACAGTTTTATTACATCTTCTGATGCCTTACATAATCCCCCAAGATCTTTTCTATTTACTTACACGGAGACGTATAACAAGTGCGCGCGGATTTCTGCTCCTAATGTGCAGTTAGGGTTGCCTACCGTGTTTACATCACTGTTCGTGCCGTACGACCAGTCCATTTCATACTCATGTCTCTGATATTTATATAGCCAAGAACCATGTTTGAAGTGTGCCCAAAGATCATTTCAAAGCTGGTTGTACCGTTGTCGTACATGACGTCACTATCACAACACGAAAATGGAGTGTTTCGAACCAGTATGAAACGGTTTGAAAAAATTTCAACAGAAAAAGACGTCTTCGAATATTACGTAAAATTCTGAGCAGATTTCATGTGATATAGCCTATACCAAGTTCAACTGTTATGGAAATATTGCAAGTTATAAACAACTACAAACTACATACTACATCGGTAAATAGGTAATAACAAAATATATACAGGTAGCTGGAGTGAACCTAGGGCCGATAATTTTGCTCCCGATTAACGAATTTGACACGTCGTTGAATTTAACAAGGTTTTGCATGGGCTAAGGTCTATATAAGTATGATGTGGTTAGAGCAAATTCAAACCCCTGATTACTTTTAACGTCTGTCAAATTCGAAAACTGAGAACAAAAGTACCGGCACCTTAGGTACCTAGGTACCTAAAGGGTGATTCAGTTTGAGGTTACAATTCAAATATGGCAATACTGGTTTGCTGAATATATGGCTGAAATTTGGCATGTGTCATGAGTGAGTATATTGGCATGATATTGACATACGAATATGGAGCGGTATTCAACACAAGATCGTATTTTAATTGTTAAAATCTATTTCCGAAATGGAGAAAATTTAACAATGCATTACGAAATGACTTCGGTAACCATAACCGTCCATCTCGTGCCGCGGTTAACAAGATTCAAAAATTTGACCGAACCGGTGTGTTGGATGTCTAATATTCTATGATGTCCAAAGACCAATACGTCCTCACAGTGGTCAATCAATCGAAAATATTGCCGCAGTGAGAAATCGTGATTCAGAATATTCAGATTCAACAAATAATTATCAAAATGGTTTTTATTGAATGGGGTTTGGGTTGGGTGGGTCACTTCACCATTTGCCCGGTGGGCCAAATGACCCCCAGTCCGACACTGAAAGTCAGTGGTCTGAAAATAAATATTTTCAATTTTTTACAATTTTTTCCAGGCATTATTTGAAAAATGATTGCACCGAGATTTTTTATTTTTGTTATTTTTACTTTTTTTATGTCAACCAAACGAAAAAAGTTTAATTTTTCCTAAATTTATGGAAAACACGCCATAGAATTGATATCTATTTTAAAAAACAAAAAACTTGTAGGTTAACTCAACGAACGTAAACATTGAAAATTTAGAAGTTACAGAAAAATACGCAAACATTGTAAAAAGAAAGTAAATTTTTCATACGACTGTGAAAATTGTAACGCTAGTTTTCACCCAAGCTGTGCAAAACAAGCTAAAGTCATAAACAGTGAAAATAAAGGCGAATGCTGGACATCGCGTCGTAAAAGTGAGGTTACAGTGCAGGAAAAACAAATCATACAAGAAAAAATGGATGAAAAACGGCTTAAATCCATTGTTAAAGATCTCCTTACAGAACAACTATCACCCTTTAAGAAATCCGTTCGGGAGGATGTGTCTGAAATCAAAAAATCTACGCAGTACATGTCGGACTATTTTGATGAACAAAAACA